AAGGAAAGCACATGTGAGCCATGCGTAAATGATTTTCATAAAAATTAATAACCATGCACCATAAAAGAAGCATTTATGCTGAAAACTGCGAAAACTTGACTACATCATTTCACACTGCACCAAAACACAACAGGATGGAACCAAAATTTTAACCCTTCATAAATTTGCACAGCATCTTCCAAGAAAAAAGAGTACCTCTTGAAAAGATTTGAACACATAACAAATGTTTCATAACCAAAACGAGAACAGTTTACCATGATTAAACCTTGTTACTAGGTAAATTTTGTAATCGCAAAGCTAAAGGAAGTACATATTTCAACAGGAATATTACCACTATCTTATTTGCACATATTATGCACACAAGCAAAGCTACTCAAGTGAAGCAGTAAAAAAAGGAACTCTTATCATAACTCAAAAAAGATATTATTTTACAAGTTAATCTTTTAGACATAAAATGAGCTAGGGAATGCACAAAATATGGTAAAGAGAATGTGAGCGACCAAGAACCTGGATCGAGTCCAATTCAACTTGTCGTATATTGTTCTCAACCCCCTTTGTATGCTCCCGAAATTTTGTGCCTTTAGACAATATGTTCGCAACTACCTACATTAGATGATATATAGTTGAAAGATTAATGCATTTTAGTGACCAACATAAGGCAACATATTCCCAACTTTCTACATCAGATTCAGATGATAGATAGAAGAAATATTGATGCATTTAGTAGTTCATCACAAGTATTAGAGCTAAGAAAGTACAAAGAAATTACTGTATTCACTATTTACACAAACTACACACAACATAAGTATAAAAATAGGATAGGAGTCCAACCACATGAATCCTTACGAACTAACTAGCTTATTTTCAAAAAATAAATAAAATCATATGCGTTCTCTGACCAGGAAAAAAATTACTTCCAGGCATTCCATTTGTCATGATTTCATATGCTTCTCCTTAGTAGCATGCAACGAAACGGATAATTACATTTTAGCACATTTCACAAGAACAAACCATATTCACAAAACAAGGAGAAAAGACCATTCTCTCTTATCACAACAAACATAAAACCAATTAAAGGAAATACAATGAAACCATGTATTGGAGCATTAAAGAGCATAGAAACTTAAATTTTACTCACATCATCGTGTTTACATTCTTCCAATTCTTGTTGCAGTCCTTCTAACGATATATCATCACTGAGAGGAGAAGGAAAAGTTACGATGGAATCATTACCAAGATGATGCACTCAAACTGTATCTTGCAATTCTAGAATATTTATTCCATTTGTCATCAACATACTCAGCATAACATGTGGCGCCGCCCATGCATTTCAAGTAATCAATTTATTTTGCACGCGTAAACCTCTCCTAATTTCGATACACAGATAATAAAAATAAAAAATTCCATATAGTTCCTCTGCAGGCATGTTTATCACAGTACTTGTAAAAACAGCCCCGTCAACATACATGATAATCTGTGTCATCGTGTCTATGGGTTAGAAATTTGTTTGTGTGCGTGGCATTACTCATACATGGGTGAATACCGATTCCTAGTGTAGTATCCGATAGCAGTTAGCCAAAATTTGACAATGTGAATTCAATTTATCAACTATGTAGAAATTCGAAAGAAGCATATACCTGCTTGCATCCTCCTCAACAGTCAAGTCCCCAACAAATGCACCCAAATCGAAAACCACTTTCTGAGCATCATCATTGCTCACATCATAAAACTGACCCTGCAAGCACGCACGCACGAAGCCCGCTAAATCGTAATTCAACACAATATTTGTAAAATTCGGATGCAGATCATTCTAATTAAGCTCTTGCTTCACCAAATTGAGCAATGTAAGGTTTACCTCTTCGTTGCTTGCAACATAAGTCATGTTGATTGTTCTGTGCAAGTGGTTGGCAAATCCAGATCGATCCGCAATGTAAAATCCTTTTTCCGAATTGATAATTGCTGATCGTCTCTAGGCCATTGCTATGGCGGCAATGCCGATGATTCCGGCGATGGAGAAGGGTGGGTCTCAGTATACACTGATTTCACAGGAGCTTGACCGGAAACAAAACTCCGGCGACGGAGATGATCTCAATTCCTGTAGGGATCCGTGAAATCGGGATTTAGAAAGAAACCAGATCACAAATTAAGAGCAAGAAAGAAGAAGGAAACAAAGCTCCGACAACGACGAAGAAGAAGAAGAAGAGACTGAACTGTAACAATGGGGGAGGATATGGGCAATAAGTCGAATTGCAAGTCTGAACGTGAGAAGTACACGCTCTGATCCTCTCTGGAAGATGAACCTGCAACTCGGGCTGGTTGGCCGGGTTGGACGGGTAACCCAACCTTTTACAATTCGGGCGGGTCTCCGGGTCGGGTTTGATTGGGTTGTATAGAAAAATATGAACCCCAACCCAATTCAAATTAAGTCGGGTTTTCAAAGGAAAATATGTCTCCAAGCAATCAAAGTGATTATTTTACCAAAATGCCATGTCATCGAGCATTTATCCAAAATTACATTAATAACCCCATCTTTGACATCACCCTCTACCCGATTCCTTCGAGACGCAAACTTGAAGGCATCCATGAGAGTAGCCAGCCACCTCTGCCACCAGAATTGTGGTTGAGGCAAGATTTTTGGTGCAACAAAAATAGGATTCCCCAACTCACCTCTTTTTACAGACCCACCACATAATAGTTAGAAACAGTCCAATCAAAATTAATTTTGAAAACGTTGTTGAATTCCAAAGGTACTTGAAGTGTAGTTTTAAAAAAAAATCCAGTTTTGTGCTTCTTATTTGTTACTTTAACGATTATAATTGTTGAAACCAAATTTTTTCGCATTTGTATACAACCGAGTTACACTTCGGGAAACTTGTAAACAAGAACAAATAACGGTAAAGATCCTTGTTATCAATGTCGTACAGGTCAATCAAGTCAGTAAAGATATTAGAACTCAAGCAGTAGACTGAGAGCAGATTATGCAACACCTTTCATGTTTGCCCTAGGGAGTATTTGTATTAGCCGAGAAGAGTCCTTATGACGATAGTAATCCATCATTAATCAAGAGTCAGAGACTCCTAAAGGAAATATACGAGTAGATTTCCTTGTTAAAAAGGGTTGATCTTATCTCACGATGCACGTTGTTCTTTTTATAATTTGTGCACGAGGAATTATAAGAGCAAATGAAAACTCAGAAGTAAGTTTGTGCATGAGTTGGTAAGCGGTGTTCAAAAATGGTGTACCATTTGGGAAATCGACCTTATATTTTTATAAGGGAGTGCTAGTAACATTTGTTTTTATCGTGACATTTGGATTTTCTCACTCCCTTCAAATGTCCTTGTCATTTTTCCAACCGACTTTCATTCTCATGAGGTTTTTGGAGTAGGAGAAACTCCGGCGAGGTGAGACGGAGGAAGCCGGCACAAATTGAAGGTGGATGGGGCATGGAATGAAGACTTTAGGTTATGAGGCGTTGGAGCAATGGTTAGAGATGACCATGGACATTTTGTTGCAGGCTTTGCTAAAAAGTACAACCATGTCTCCTCTCATCAGCTTCAAGTTGAAGCTTTGGCTGCCATCGATGGTCTGGTGTTAGCGTTAAAAAGGTGTTTACATAATCTAAATTTCGAGAGTGATGTTCTCTAGATTATCATAGCATTGAAGGATATCTCACTCAATTTGTGTTTTATTGGACTTATCGTGGAAGATGCATAGCATCGACTATCTACAATTATTGGAGTAACTTTTACCCATGTATACCGTCAAGCAATAGTGTTGCTTATCGGTTAGCTCATTAGGCTATTTACTATGACTTGTTTAACTATTTTGAGAATCTCCAAAACTCGTTTTAGATTTAATATTTGACGAGTATATCAATTAGTTGCTTGTGTGTTGGCAAAATTTTGTACTAATGATGTTTTTCCTTATTGAAATCTATCGTCGTACTTAAAAAAAATTTTTGTTGTATAGTCATTGTTTTTCTTACTTTTAAATAAGAGGTTTTCCATTCGATTCTCATCGATATTGAGTTCAAACCAAATTATTAGACTTACTCCAATCATTGGAGTAAAACTTGAACGTTAGGTTCTAAACTTACCTTAACTTGCTCCAACCCTTGGAGCAAATACGAGTTAAAACCTAAAACTCATTTATGGGGCAAATTTAGTCAGGATTCCTCTGGGTTAGTGGGCCTGACCCACCATATATGTGTATTTTTTTTAGTTTATATTTATAAATTAATTGAATCCAAAAGCTAAGATCTAATTTGAACAAATTTAATAGTAAAAATATAAAAATAAAAATCTAATGGTCTAAATTTAAATTCAACGGCTAAAGTAATTAAAAACAAATTATTTTATGTGTTTCATATTCTTTCGTGGTGTTCCACAAGTTTCATGGTGCCGATTTAGTGATTTTTCAATATTTATTAGAATCTAAATATTTTTAGCTTAAAATGTTCACAAAATTAAATTAATAGTCTACTTAATTATTTTTTTTTTAAAGTTACTTTAGGAAAAAAATTTATCCTAAATTTATTCTTCAATAAACTCTGGCTAAAAATTTAATCCAAATATTAAAGGACAAAAACTGTTTATGAGTTAAAACCTAAATTTTATAGGTTAAAAATTTCAAGTCTTAATTCAAACGTTAGAAATGGTCCTACGAAGCTATTCGTAAACAAAATTGTATTTATTTGCATGGTGTTATGTTTTTTTGACTAAAAAATATGCGTAGAGGAGGAGACTTGAGAATCTACCGCCCAATTTCCTGAAGAATTGTCGTCAACGGATAAAAAAAAAAAAAAAAAAAAGGAAAGAAAGAAGAAGAAAAATGAAAAAATGAAACTCACCGTAAACGCCGCCACGACACTGCCACGTAGGCTCGTGAAGAAGCCGAAGCAAGCCTATTCAGTTCTCGAAGCATGAGGCTCGGACGACACAGCTGGAAACAGCCTGTCACCAACAAAGTCCCACTCACCTATTCCCCTAAAGTACGCTCTTTCTCTCTCTCTCTCTCTCGCCCTCCCCCCCCCTTTGTTTCCTTCTCTCTCCCCTCTCTTCCCCTCTCTCTGCAAGTTAGGGTTTTCTGATTTTTTTGTCCGATTCTGCAATTCTGGGTTCGGCTTCACCAGATCACGATTCTCGCCTCTGTAAGATCTCGATTGATCTCCCTTTTGCTTTAATTCGTACTAATTTTTGTTCTTGCTATGGTTTCTTGAATTTGGGGTTTCTATCACGTTGGCTGCCCTATTTATGGTATTCAAAATTATTTTAATTTTTCTGGGTGTAGTTATTTTATAGTCAATTTTGTTTTCTTGTAATATCTTCATGAAATGATTTGGAATATAATGTCTGTGCAAGGTTTATTTTGAATTTTATTTTAATGTTTGGGGACTGTTTGGTTGCTGAGAAACGGTAGGAAATGAAGAAAAACCAGATTATAAATTTAAACTATATATTCCAGTTTTTGGGTCTTTTACAATGGATGTTAAATGAATGAATAACCTTATACTTCCTGGTTTGAGTTTTATTTTCTGATTGATTTTGTATTATTTTTTATGATTTGTTTGCGCGCGTCGATATAGCTCGATAGAATATCAGTAGTGTCCAAGAGTGAGATGCAATCCTGTGATTTTTGTCTGAGTATAAGCGTTCGAGCAAATGCTGTTTTGTTAGAATAGATGTAGTGTTGTTTGAGTGATAATTTATAAGCTTTAAAAGCACAACAATCGCGCAAAAGTAGTTCTCTCAATGTCGTGCAAACGATGTAAATTCCACCCCTGCTGCTTCTCTTTTGATCTGGAATCTACTGATCTCTCCTATTACAAAGAGTAGATATTTGAACGGGTGCACGCCCACTTTGACTTGGTCAAGTCATTGGTCAAGTGTGCGCTATTGATAATTTGTGGAATCTGGATGCAGAAAATTATCCATTGTACTCATTTGTTCATGCAAAATTGGTACTTGCGAGATCTGACAAATTCGTAGAATCTGTCATCCCTTCTTATTTGCCCCGAGTAAAAAGTAGTTTTCATGTTTCCTTCTTTAAGTGTTCTGCACTTCTCTGTATGATGCTTTGACAATCTTATATGAGGCTGGTTATGTGTGACTTTTTATCTTTTCTTTCGGGTATAAGAATTATAATTTTTATTGGTGTAGCTTGTTGTTTAATTAAAGTTTAAGTTATCTAAGTCCTGTCGATTATGACCATAACTTTTTATATTTTTTCAATCTTTGGAGATCCTTGTGTGCTCATGGTTTTCTTCCATCTTTGTTGCAGTTGTGTGGGTCACGTTATCAACCTAAGAGCCCAACATTGTTCAGATAGTGTTGGTGCTATATGGTTGTTCAGGGAATGTCTCGGAAACATCAACTTCAGTAATAGATATATCCATGAATTCGATGAGAATCTTCTGGTATTACTATTTAAACTGTTTTGGTAGTTTCCGTTAATTCTGAGAAGGAAGCGTTTAAGCTACCAGAGGATCATCGTATCCATGCTGGCAGAGAGCATGCGTGGAATCTGTGCTTCGGGTAATGCCCCTGACGAGAATTGCTGCCGATACACTCGGTGTGTTGACCATATGTCTAGTTGCTCTCTTGATCCTTCTTGGTGTCTTCTGCATTATTTACTTGTTTTACTTTCGCTCTCACATTCGTAATCAGGGTTTTATTCAGCTGAATTATTTCAGTGGCCCTTGGATTATCCGAATCACTTTCATCTTGTTTGCAATCTGGTGGGGTTTTGGTGAAGTTGCCCGTTTAAGTCTGTTGAGACGTGAGGGGAGAGTGTTGAACGCCCTTAACTTTAAATGGCAGGAGAATCTTTGCAAGTGTTACATTGTCTCAAACCTTGGGTTTGCGGAACCATGCCTATTCCTGACCCTTGTGTTCCTACTTCGTGCGCCTTTGCAGACAATGGAGTCAGGAATTCTAAGCCGGAAGTGGAATGGGAAAACAGCTGGTTACATTCTTTTCTTTTGCCTCCCATTGGTTGCTCTTCAGCTCTTCGTTATTTTAATTGGACCCGAACTCCACAAGAAAGACAGTTTACATAAATTGCCTTACTACTTCACAAGTACAGTGAACAAGACTGATCATGTTGCCCTCTGCACTTACCCTTTGCTGAGTACCATCCTGCTTGGGATTTTTGCCATCATTCTAACTGCCTACTTGTTTTGGCTTGGAAGGCGGATTTTAAAATTGGTCATCAACAAGGGTCTGCAGAAGAGAGTTTATACATTGATATTCTCGGTTTCAAGTTTCCTTCCGTTAAGAGTTACTTTGCTTGGTTTCTCTGTTTTATCTAAACCAGAGCACGTTCAGTTTGAAACTCTTGCTTTCTTGGCGTTTCTTGCACTTTTATGTTGTGCCGGGGTGTGTATATGCATGCTTGTTTACTGCCCAGTTGCGGATTCTTTAGCCCTGGGGAGTTTACAGGACTTGGAGAGTAGGAGAGTTAATGATGATCAGAATGACACCATTTCTCTTATTGCTAACCAGAGTCATATGGAGGAGAGTTCTGGAATCAGCCCTTGTAGAAACTCCGATGTATCAGCCAAGCGTGGATCAATTTCTTTTCGTACTATGGAAAAGGAGGAGGGTTCTTCTAGGGTACCCTTCGTGGAACTGAGCCTCTTCTCTCCTAGTCGAGATGCATCACCCCCGGATTCGCCTCCGCTCCTTGGCTGGCCTATGCGTCCTCATCCATCGTCTCAGTCACCAGTCGTTCGTGTTCATCAAACCACAGCTAGATAGAAGCATGTAGCCGCAACTGAATTCGCCTGGTCAATATCAATATCAATTTTGTGGTAAAGAAAAAAACTGATTGTAAAGGGTTTAGATTTTTGAATAAGGATTTTTATTCTTGGTTTGTTTTTTTGTTTTTCTAGTTTTCTTCAGATTAGTGATGGGTTTTCGCTTTGCTTGAACGAATGCATGATATGATCTCTCTTGTTCTCCTGTACTATTTTTGTAACCATCTTTTAGTTTCCTGCAAGTTCCAAGTTTGCATGATATCTGATTGTATTTTAATGCTGGATATGGCGCTTGTCGATTATTTTATGAGTTCGTTTGGATGTGCTGTTAAAATAACTAAAAGTGTTTTTGACGAAAATGTTTTTGGAACAAATCCTTGATAAAAATACAAATAAATTCTGAAAAAGCACTTATAGTGTTTCCTGTAAGAGGTATATAACTGTAAGAGGTATATAACTGATGTTTTTTGTAGAAAACATTTAAAGTGCTTTTGGTACTTAAAAATATTTTTTCTAAAAACATTTTCAGTTATTTTAAAAGCATATTCAAATAAGCTCTATGTTATTTGGCCGCTGCGTTACTGAATGGCACTTCGAAGCACAAACTGCGAAGTGAGTTGATGTAGAAGAGTTAGGAGTCACGGACGACATGGACAATTGCACCTTCTGGCTTCTGCAACCCAACACTCCTGCAGTATAAGATTGACCGCATTCAAAGAATCGGATTCCCACCACCAACGGAACAAAACCCGCTGTGGATGCGACATCGATCCCAACCTTCGGCGCAAAGAGTTGTGTTGCCAAAATCGAAATCAACGAGGGAACCGTCTTTGCAAATGCCACGAGCAGCCCACGCAACGAGTCACGAACGACCACTAACGAATCCACGTTCTTGTCGGATCCTTTTGTGAGGGTTTCGAAGATTCGTGAATTATATATGTTCATCGTACATCCTGCGATCAGAAATTATTTTAAATATTTTCATTTAAAATTAAAAACAAACAATATTTAAAAATTTTAATGACTATAATCTCATATTTTATTTTTTTTTTAAAATTAATCGTTATAATGTGATTTATAATAATCTATATTATCAAGAGAATTCTCATTATTAACTTTTTTTTTCATTTTTTTTTCTATTTTACTTTCATTTTTGATACATTCTTGACAAAATGAGGGTAAAATTATAATTTTGTACCTTTTGATAAAATGACAATCGTGTCTCTATTTTTTCCTATTTTACCCTTTTTTTTGAAAAAATAACAATCATATAATTATTTTTCCAATTTTACTTTTAATATACAATATTTACCTCTCCTGTAATGTAAAGTGTTTTTTCTCCTCACTTCGTTCCTTTACCTGCTCAACCAAATAAGAAGGACAAAACAGATAAAAAAAAATTCACTTATTAAGAGAAATTGGTCCATATGTTTGCACCCTAGTAGTTGTATAATTAAGGAAAACTTATACAACCGGGGAAGAAACCCGTGCACTCTTTCAGAAAACTGGAACTGAACCCACGTTACCTGTCGTTTCAGTGTTGCAACAACTCACTCTTGAGGTTAGGGTTCGTCTTTACCACGTCCTTTTCCCTCTCTGTTTAATTGGATTTTGTTCATTTGATCGTGGGTCTTGGGTTTTCTGTTTTTCTTCGAAGTTTATTAATTTCATAATTTTTGTTGAATTTTTTTGTCAAATTCATTCAGTTGGATGCATTTTATTGAATTGGTTTCTCTGTTTCTGTGATGTACTTTGAATTGGACTGGGTTTGTTCAATTGTGGCATGTTTCTTCCGTTCCTATTTTCTGCATTTGTCTAGAATATTAGTGCAATAATATACTTGCAATTTACTTGAGGACAAGCGATATTCTACTCTAATCTACACTAAGGGGGTTTGAACCCTAGACGGGGGTGTATTCAATTGGGATTTTGAGGGATTTTAATTCTTTTAATGAATCTAGGGTATTCAATCAGGATTGTAAGTGATTCTCTGAAATTCAATGTGTATTCAATCAGGATTTTAAGCATCCACAAATCTCACTTCTTTCTATGAGATTTTGAGGGAATTGAATCAAAATTTTACATGAAATCTCTACAAATCAATTAAACTCCATAAAAATCCATGAATTTATAAATCTATTAAAATCTCTCCAATTCCCAGTGTGTTAAAGAAGAAAGCCCTGATCTCCAGGGCAATCCACCACTTGCCACTTGCATTGTACTCGAACATCCAAAGTTAAATCCTCAGTACATTGAAATGGAGTTCTGAAAACTCTTCAGTTCATTTCCCATACACTTTGCACTAGTTCCTCTTTGTTCTCTTTTAATTTTAGAATCGATTCTGCTTTACCACTAGTTTTGTGGTTTTTTGGTGTGCTGTTCTAATCTTGTGCTATATTATTGTGTTGTAGTAGTGAAATTTAAGCTCCTCTTAGTCCTAGTTTGGATTCGACTACCCTGTTTTGAGTCTGTCTCTGACTCTCTAAGTGGAGTTTGGGGTCGTGGGGATGGAGGCCATGGTGAAGAAGTATCAGCAGAGGTTCAGGAAGGTGAGGGATGAGATGAACAGCTGGGCCGTGCTTCAGTCTCGCTTGATTTCGCAATTCAGGAACGCCTCCTCCATCATCCAGAGGTTGCAGGTCTCGACCCCCCTTCTCATCCAATTTCTTTTTCCATATGGCACAATAATTCTTTATCTATTATTTAAACAAACAAACAAACCCCACTAAAAACCATTTCTTAACATGCCTTTGTTAATTTACAACTTGGGTTTCATTTCTTAATTTGGCTGTGCTAATTTACAAGTTGTGTCTGTTTGTGTATGTATGTTTTTTTATCAGGTGCTTCAAGATTCCAAGAATTATGGCTGTTTGAAAGATGTCGTCGGTATTGAAGAGGCACTACTGGCAAAGCAGATGGACTCGCTGCAAAACATCTTGCTCTCCATGAAGAAAACCATGTAATTTTCCTCTTTTTATTTCTCTTTCTTTCTTGTAATTGAAATTTATTTATAGTAGCTAATTTTGGGTGAGCTGCAATTGTATGCATTTTATTCCTAAACCATGATAATTCCTATTGTAAGCATAGCAGCTGGTGCTTATTTGCATATTAATTATTGTTAGTAGTCATTTTATAGATTAGCATTTCAATTTTTATAATGATCATTTAGCATTTTTTAGGTGGAAAAAGGGGGAAATTTTTTGAATTTCTGTTATTAATTTCAGGGAAGAGTTTCATGTTATTGTATTGTCTCTCGGGAAGATTCATCGCGATGGTAGGCAGATGGTAAAGGGCGGTGGTTCTAGTCAGTTGAGTGTAAAACAACTGCAGCAACGAGTTGGTGTAAAACCCAGTCTTGCGGATTGCTTGGATGGGCTTATGCTTCTTCAGGACATGCATTGCTCTGAGTATGCAACTTTTCTATGTCTTAAGTGATAAATTGTTGTGTGTTAGCTTTCAGATATCAAATCTGGTATTGCCAGATTTCATTCCTATAAATTCGGCGACTTAGTGTTAATTGGGTGTATTAGAAAGGTCATCTAAATTCTTACAAAAGTATCTGGTCCTCTCCTGCACGCGCACGCGCACGCGCACACACACGTATGCACACACCCACGCCCACACGCATGCACACACACATCAATGTGACTAAACCTTTTTTTCTAGTTATATATGGGTCGAGATCACGTTAACCTAGTTTGTGAATATTTTTCTTTCTTCCCCTTCTGTTATCAGGTACCTTTTGAAGTCATCATTGGTTACGGCGCTCTCACAACTTACCTTGAAACCCAGGTGTGCGAAGTACTTATCTTCTGACCGAACTGATATTTTACCTTCCTGATTGTTTAGGAACTTGATCCTTTTGAATGTGAAGAGAGTCTGTTCTAGTTTGGAAGGTGTTATGTAATACAAGTTATACAACTTACTCTTATTCTTCTTTAACGTATAACATCGAGGGAGAATGAACTGTTAATACCAAAAGCCATCTATTTTGAGATTCTACCCCCTTGCTGCCGCCCTTTTTATTTATTTACTTGTTTCTATAATTCGAATTTCTCATTTTCTGAGCTTCGACTCTTATCTTTTCCGGGTAGGGGTTTTGGGCATTGAGATTAGCCGACTGAACTATATTTCAACCTCCAGTATGCTATAACCTTTTATTTTACGGTTACTTTACTATAAATTTGATACATTTTGGAGCTTAGGTGCAATCTGCAGATGTGTCAGCCATTTCTTATCATGGTTATATTTCCACATATTTCTTTCTTCTTTTAAGAATTAAGTTTATGTACTTGATGTTCGTTCATCAATTTCCTAGTGCCAGTGATTTGGGTGCACTCCAGCAGCTCTTGGTTGATCAGCCTAACATCCCCAAGGAGGAAGGTAAGATACCAATCATCTATAACATTCGTGATCCATCATCCATGTGATTAAAACATCCTGATTTCTATTTATCTCATCATGTTTTCTCGTCTATAATTATTTAATTTGTGTATTTATCTTTTCCATATTGGTTTTTTTTTTTTTTATGTAGTCGTCATTTCTTTCAACTTTAACTCATGACACTGAAGTACTAAAATCATGCTCTCACAGTCTCACTGGCACTTCTTTTTCTTTTTGCAGTCCAATTCATCTTTGATATCATATTTGCCGAAGACATTTGTTGACATTCGCTGGAACATTGGCTGCAAGCTTCAGAGCTCTGGACGGAAGCAGTTTGGAAAACAGAAACCTCTTGGTTTTGTTTGAGTCGTGACTCGTGAGTGATAACAGTTGAATGCTTGTGCTCTGGTGCTGAGATTGCGAGAGGTGCCTGCAACATTTGATGCATATAAACGCAAAAGAGAGAGAATTCATTGCAAACTTGTACGTAGCCGTATATTCATGGAAGTGATGCAGCGGAAGGTGGGGATGTGGAAGTTGCTTGCCTCCGGAGAAACCTTCTGGATTTTTCATATTGTTTTGTTGAGTTGAGGTATATATTTTGTGCCTGTTTGATATACTAATAGCGAACAGAATTAATTTATCAAATCTTACAAACATTTCTTTGGATTCAACTGTGATTTTCGGGCCCTCGTGTAAGAGCTGTATGTCCAGTGGCACACGGATGGCTGGGAATCAACTACCCTTTGCTTTTCTATCTGAGTAAGTCCCATAATTTTGAAATGGTGTTCCTTGTTCTGGTATACAAAATGAGTATATGCTTGTTACTGTCAATTATTTTTTACTTTTCATTCTTTTTTCAGGCCTCTGGCGGTTATTACTTGTTGCCGCGGAACATTGAGAATTAAGGACAGAGATCCTTTCTAAACCTCACTGTTCGGAGCTCAAGAACCAGACAATCCAGACCATTCAAATTGAATCTGATGGTCCACATTAACTCATTCCGCTGGTCCATCTTACACAAGTCAAAAGCTACAATCTCTCTTTCACACAAACCAAGGATAAGAATTTCCTGATCCTTAGGCTCTGGACAGTAAAGTCTGGAGGGGATTCAAATTCGAGAATTACCGTCACAGGTTTAACATATAAACTTTGGAGTATAAATATGAAGATTTCACTGGGATTCTATGCCCCCATTGATAGAAATGAAAGCATATTGATTTTTTTAAGACAAACATTCCAAACTACAACTGATTCAAATCTGAATGCAAAAGAGCAGACATACTCCTATGACAAAAAAACCTTAAGTCACTTCTCTTAGTTTGTAATTTCTTGATTATTCGAGTCGGAATTTTCTTTTGATAAGGGGGAGAAATTCTACTGTACGAGTTAGGACTTTGAAATACGCATCTTCCACTTTCATTCCCGGAGCTCACTGACCATACTTCGATCCGACATTGCTAAGTTTTCTCTTTCCATTACAAGACTTAAACATCTACAAAATCTAAACTACATATTAAACAAAATTTTCTTTATCAACAAGAAGAAGGCTAAAAAACCAAAAATTAACATGCCAATGAAACTAACAAAGTAACCAAAATAAAAGTTAGGGGCAATATAGTAAATTAAACCTTTTTTTAAAACTTTTGTTTTTCAAAGCTCACAGTTAGTTAACCATATCAATTGCCACAATTTTTTCTTTCACGTTTTTATTTTTTCAAATAAAATAAACTTTTTGTAACGAAATAATTTTCAAAAAACAGTCGCTAAAGATGTGAGCAACCTCTTCAACAACGAAAAATCGTTTGAAGGTTGCCACCAAAAAACTTTAGCTTTTATATTTCATCTTTTTAGTACCACCTAATCACGTTGTGCACTCTTATTTGTAAATTTAAAATTTAAATTTATTCTCACTTTTACACATCAACCATGCTTTATGGCTTCGTTACCCTCCGAGTGTCGGCTAGCACATGACGTTCTGAACAGACACGTGAACATTTTGTGTTAGAATGTGTCAATTCGGTAAACATTATTTTTAATATTTTAATAAGTACATGCATAGTATATGCATATCTACAATTACTAGTATAACACTAAAGAGGTATTCATCAATTTACCCCCTGAACTTATAAAGATTGGCCAATTTCCCCCCTTAACTCTCATAATTAGTCAATTTGCACCCTACTGCTAACTTTTTTAATTGTCCATCTATTCTTCCGTTTAGTATGTCACGTGCTATCCACATGACTACCTTTAAAGGGCAAAAAAGTCATTTTTTGACACATTCCATCTACACCCTTTTCTCCACCCACACTTTGTACTCTCCAGATTCTTCTCTGTTAGAGAAGCATCTCAGTTCTTTAACTCCCAAGACTGCCCTTCAATCACCACCCTCCCCGATGATGGCGTGGTGTTAGCACCAAAGACTCAGCAACCCTTTCTCAACCTGCAAGTTACCAGATAACAATGGAGGAAGAGAAGGGAAGAGACAGAGAAAGAGAGAAATGTTTTTGTAATTTTGTATTGAATGTTTCCAAATATCTATTATGCTCAACCCCACCAAATTGATTACATATATGATTCCACTAACACCAAATGCCAGCTGGCCATACGACTACCACAACTTGATTACTACTTATTACAGTACTATTACGCTACTAATTGCAAACAGATAACCACAATCGTAACATTGCCCACTCCTTCAGATAAACCTTGTCCACAAGGTTGTAATCACAGAGGAAAATCTGAGAATTTCTCAGCCAACTCATCATAATCTTCCCATGTAGCATCTTCTTCCTTGCTGCCTTTCCAGTGAACAAGCAGCTGCAGTCCCGCCCCTTTACCTTTTTTGTAAACTCGCCTTTGCAGAATTGACATTGGTTCTAGAGACTTCAACCCATCTTCTATCACCACTGGTAGAACTGTTAAAGGACTAACCCCTGGGCCCAAATGCTTCTTCAAACAGCTAACATGAAAGATAGAATGTATCTTGGAATCTGTAGGAAGCTTAAGTTTGTAAACTACACTCCCAATCCTCTCCAAAACTTCATAAGGGCCATAAAACCTGGGATGTAACTTATGATAAGCATGTGCAGCCAATGATTGCAATTGATAGGGTACCAATTTCAAATAAACCAAGTCTCTAACTTCAAACACTTTTTCCCTTTTGTGCTTATCAGCTTGAGCTTTCATTCTATTTTGAGCCACCAACAGATTAGTCTTGAGCATAGCTAATAGATTATCCCTAGCCAACCATCCTTACTCCACTATATCTAGCTTGGCAGTGCCCTTTTCATAAGAAGCAATATGTGGAGGGGGAAATCCATAAACAACTTCAAAGGGAGAGAACTTGGATGAACTGTGAACCGAAGAATTATAACTCCATTCAGCCTATGGGAGCCAATAGAGCCACTTTTTGGGTTGGCAACTTGTGAAGCACCTAAGATAGGTTTCTAAGCCTCGATTAACCACCTCAGTCTATCCATCACTCTGAGGATGGTATCCCGAACTCATACACAGCTTAGACCCACTCAGTTTGAAAAATTCTTTCCAAAAAATACTGAGGAATTCAGTGTCTTTATCACTCACTATAGTTGCTGGAATGCCATGCAGCTTGAACACATTTTCTACAAACTCCTGAGCTACCATAGTTGCGGTGTAAGGGTGTCCAAGAGCAATGAAGTGAGCATATTTTGATAATCTATCCACAACCACCAGAATAACAGACTTGCCTTTGCAGTTGGGTAAGCCACTAATAAAATCCATACTAATGTCCTTCCACACATGTTCAGGTATTGATAGTGGCTGGAGTAAACCTGGTGGTGACAAGGTCTTATACTTATTCTGTTGGCACACCCTGCATTTAGCTACCCAAGACTTAATGTCTTTTTTCATTCCCACCCAATAAAAACTTCTTTTCAATCTGTGGTAGGTTTTTTGAACACCTTCATGGCTGGCCATAGGAGTGCAATGATGCTCTTCAAAAATCTTGTGTCTCCAAGTTGAATCAGGACCAATCATAATCCTATTTTTATATTTTAAGAACCCATTATCGATGTGGAACTTTGATAAATGGGTAGTGACAGTGTTGCCATGGGTGGCAACCCTCATTTCTTCCTTCTTTTGCTTTACCCACTCATCTTTTTCCAATTGTCTTCTCAAATCATCCAACCACCCAAAGTAAGGGTATGTGATAGTGACACATTCCACTAACTCTTCACTGTGGGTTGTAGGCAATGTAGGGCACTAGGTACCCTTGATAAAGCATCTGCCACCACATTTTCCACACCTTGTTTATATTGGATCTCATAATCATATCCCAATAGCTTTGAAACCCACTTTTGTTGAAATGGAGTAGTAGCTCTTTGATTTAAAAAACATTTCAGACTATTGTGATATGTTTTGATGATGAAATGTTGCCCCTGGAAGTAATTTTGCCATTTCTTGATAGCATGCACCACAGCTATGAGTTCTTTTTCATAAGTGGACAGAGCCTGGTTCTTGGGGCCCAAAGCTTTGCTGGAGAAAGCAATGGGTTTTCCTTGTTGCTGTAAGACTGCTCCTATCCCATTTGCAGAAACATCACATTCTATAACAAATGGAATCGAGAAATCAGGAAGAGCTAACACCTTGGGAGATGTCATGACATTTTTTAATTCTTGAAAAGCTGACTCTGCTGCCTCAGACCATATGAACCCATCTTTTTTAGTGAGTTGGTATAGAGGCTGACAAATCTTGCCATAGTTTTGTACAAACTTTCTGTAATAACCTGTCAACCCCAAAAAACCCCTCAGCTCCTTCACATTCCTAGGGACTGGCCAATTCAAAATGGCTTGGATCTTAGTGGGATCAGCTGCCACTCCATCACTTGAAACTATGTGACCCAAATATTCAACTTGTGGTTGACCAAAAGAGCATTTAGACTTCTTGACATATAATTGGTGCTGCAACAACAACTCCAAAGTCTGGTGCAGATGAGATAGGTGCTCCTTCCATGTTTTACTATAGACTAATATGTCATCAAAGAATACCAATATAAATTTCCTGAGATAGGGTTTAAAAATGTCATTCATCAAGCTTTGAAAACTTGCTGGGGCATTAGTAAGGCCAAATGACATTACCAAAAATTCATAGTGTCCTTCATGGGTCCTAAAGGCAGTTTTCTCCACATCCTCTGCATGAATTCGAATCTGATGATAACCCGATCTTAAATCCAGTTTGGAGAAGTACCTAGCCCCAAATAGCTCATCCAATAGGTCATCTATGAGTGGGATAGGATATTTATCTTTGATGGTGATGCCATTCAACTCCTTGTAATCCATACATAATCTCGAAGTGCCTTTCTTCTTCTTAACTAGTAAAACAGGAAAGGAAAAAGGACTACGGCTAGGTTTGATAAAACCCGAGTGTAGCAATTCCTGGACTGCTTTTTCAATTTCAGCTTTTTGTAGAGGTCCATAATGATAAGGCCGGATATTGGGGGGTTTTGCTCCTGGAAGCAATGGAATCCTATAGTCGTGGGTCCGTGAAGGAGGTAATATGGAAGGAATAGTAAAAACCACCTTAAATTTGTTCAAAACTGTGTGCAGTTCATTGTATTGGGAAGGAGTGAGCTCAAATGTGTCATTTGTTTCAACCTCCAAAGAATATAATAATAATCCCAAGTTTGAAGTGGAGCACCCTTTACTGATGTGATGCACCGAAATATCTTGTATGGGAGACTGTGAAGGTGCACAATAAGTCAATTTAAATTGCTGGGATCCCACTTGAAACTCCATAGTCAGATTTTGGAAATCCCACAAGACTGGACTTACTGTGGCTAGCCACTGGACCCCTAGGACAACATCACAACCCCCAAGAGGTAAAACAAACAGATCACTGTAGCAATTATATTGTCCCACTGTCAACTGCACTTGTCTACAGCAACCTTGACTTTTCACTTTACCCCCATCAGTAATCATCACCTCGAAGGGCCTTGTGGGATGAACTGGACACCCCAATTGCTTGACTAATCTAGAGTCGATGAAATTATGGGTGCTTCCAGAATTTAACAGTATTTTAATAGCATAATTCTTAACCAACCCTTCCACCTTCATAGTTTGAACCGAAGGTTGGCACTAGTGCCATAAAAAGCACACTCACTCAATGCCATGCTGTGTAACTCCACAAGAAGATTAGTGGGTTCATCATCGCCATACTCATCATCAGAAACGATATCCAACATAAGAAGTTGCTTATGAGCACATTTGTGTCCCTTATCCCACTTGTCATCAAAAAACCAACACTCACCCCTTTCTTTTTTGCGCTGAACCTCCGCATGTGTTAATTTCTTATAAGGCAAAGCAGGGACACAGTGCCTTCCAGGGAT